GTTTGTTACCATAATAATTTAGTTCGTTTATTTTTAATATATTTAATAATTTAGTTAGTTTGCAGAGGTATGTGCACAGAGCAACGCGGTTAATACATAATTGCAGAGTACATTAATAAAATGATTCTTAAAAATCTTATCGTTACTTCATTTAAAATGTTTTTTTTTCTTTCAACTTATTTTTGTACGTAGAATCGCCACTTGGTTTATTATACTACAATTTTTCGGACACCCTGTACATACGTACGTATATGGATGTACACTTCTTTATAGATTGTCTGATAATTCGGGTAATTATACTTAGATAATCGATCTTTGCTTAATATAAACACAATAAGTTTCCCCCTGCCCATCACGAAAATCGGTTTATCGCGGCAATCCATCCATCCATTCGTCCGTCCGGACATCCGATCTGTGTCTCAATTAACACTGCTCGACCGTATATATTTATATTCTAATTGAACAGGCATTATTGACGGTGATTATTTCATGCCTAGTTTCGTGATTTTCGCGTCGTGCGACTGGTTCGATTATATTTTCGTCGTGAACAAGGGTGGAGCGTTGCACCGGGCGAAGGACAGGGTTGCGGATGCTGGAAAAGAGGGATGTATAATGGAATAATATCCACTTGATGGTCGTTTACCCTTTAACGATGATTCCTCGGTTTTCGGAGCGTACCGCGAGAGAAAGAGAGAGTGCAGTTACGTGTCAAATTGAATTTCACGGGAAATTTTCCGCGTTCCTCCATTTTCTGCCGCCCCACGTCCGACGCGTACAAGCACCGCTGGGATCATTATCGTACTAATCATTAATTTCGAACCTCCGCTTCCAGCGCTGATATTTAATGCCCGCTGTCGTTATAACTAAATTTATACATTTTCCGAAATTCGTTTTCCAACCTATTTATTTACGCGTTCAATTAATTTCGAACTTTTTTTCGAATTACGTCACACGCATTGAAATTTGTAAAAAAATAAAGACGCGAGATAAATTCTAGAAAATGCGATGACACAACTTTCAGTCTTCAATTACTAATTCATGCTTATTAACGCAGAGTGAACAACTTAATCGAGGCTATCGGTCGCTTTAATCAGCCACTATCTTTATTGCGGATCCGTGACAAGAACTCATCGTCAAGAGTGCCTTTCATGATATTCCGAAAGAATGTGAAATGTTTTCCATATTTTAGCAACATTGAGCCATTTGACATGTAGTATAGAATAAATAGAAGCTGTTAATTGGAATGATTTTTGATGAATGATATTTTCGGACTGTAACTTCGTATAAAATTTATGTAAAACGTTTTTTCAGTATATTCATTCTTCATAATCTTGTAATTACCATCCCCCTTACAAAAAGAATATTAATCGCGCGTAAAGAGAGAAGTAGGTATCTTTGATTCAGAAGCGAGAAAAAATGCCGGAACAAAATAAGAAGCAGCGTTTCCACTTAAGATCTCACAAGTATAACGTATTTATCACATTCTTCATTCTCATTACTGCATACCGCGTACCTATCATGTTTCCAGGCATTAAATCTATAGGTATACGTATATCGCATTAAATGCACTTTCTGTTATTCATGCGCTATTACTACGACAGATAAATGCTTAATGATGTTGATAGTCACGCTTCGTGGAGAACGAACTACAGGAAACGATACAATGTTTTAGTAAGTATTCGAGTTTTACTAACGAGAGTAAATTGCTGAGAAAAGACCCTAAAATATCAAACGAAAGAACAGACGACGTTTCATCAATGTGTCAAATACTGTAACCTGTCTAATACGATGTAAGTAATCGTTGAAAAGAAAAGAGTCAGCAAATAAAGTTGTTCTGTCATTTGTTCACGATTTAATTGCGCGGTGAACCGTCTCTAATGATCATTCGGTGTGAATTATTATTGAATCAGAATCAGTCACGCGCGTTAATTTGTCTCTAACAGCAGAATGAATAGGTAATGATCACCTGATTAATGTTTGAGAAACGAGCTTACGCTTTGTTCATTAAAATACCTCGTCTATTACGAATACATCTTAATTAAATAAATCAAGTCTGGGAATAACATTTATTTATATGACATTGTTTATTAAACGTGGAACAACAATCAATAGTTGTAGGAATAAGTAGACGTACGAAACGAGCGCGTGGTTGTACCGCTCAACTGTTTGTATTGATTGTAATTAATGTATCTCGATTAGGGCATCGATGAAAAATAGAATAGTTACACTGAGTTATAACAGTTTAAGGGATGTGGATACCGATCGGTCGTTTATATCGCGAGGACCTGATCCGATACGTTTCTACAGGTTGCTTGCAATCTGGTCGACGTATACAATAATTAGCCGGGATGAACGGTGTTCCGATAAGGTGGATCTTCGAGCGCAACTTTCAACCGCGATTTACGCTGCTAGTTTTGCATAAGTGGATGATAAGGCTTCAGTTTGATTTCACGTTCCATGGTTGAGATTCAGCTCGGTGTTGTTTGTACGGGTCTCCGGTAATGGAAGTGGTTCATTGCTATCGCGTTAACGGTAATTTTATTAATATCTACTCTCCTCTACCGAATCGCAATGCACCTGTGAACGCGACAACGTGCTGACTACAAAGATCGCGTTATAATTTGCACCGACTGGTAAATCGTTTCGCGTAACTTGCTTCTTAACATTTCGTAATCATTTTCAACATAATTCGTTTAACATATGGTCACTGTTTTATCTTGGAATTTTAATACTTATTCCGTTTAATCAGATATTCCGTTCATTGCAAAATTTTATTCATCCAATTTCTTTATCTATATTATTTTATATGTATATGTCTTAAGAGACGCGTTGATGTAAATAATAATTAAAATTAATATCAACTGTCGTGATTGACGAGCGTTCTCGATTTTGTTTTACAGTAGCTGGAGCATTTCCAAGGAGGATCGGCCATCCGTACCAAAACAGAACGCCGCCGAAGAGAAAGAAGCCGCGGACGAGCTTCACCAGGTTGCAAATCGCCGAGTTGGAGAAACGTTTCCACAAACAGAAATACTTGGCCTCGGCTGAACGAGCAGCCTTGGCTAAAACCTTGAAGATGACTGACGCCCAGGTGAAGACTTGGTTTCAGAACAGGCGGACAAAGTGGAGGTAAGTCCCTCACGTTTCCTATTTTATCCCACGCATTTTCATTTTACACATAATTTTATCCTGACGAGCTAGTATGAAATCAAATCAATGTCGGTAATTTTAAATTAAATTATCATATTACGCGACTTATCAAACGCCATGCTACGTTAATAATGTAAGTAGCGACGTGTGTATGTACTGGTTCACTAATTCTCGACACGTTTTTGATTTCGTTGACCTAATAAGGAAAATTAACAGAATCATTGTTCCAAGCCAAGCTTCTGGTAATCTCGGCTGAATCAAGGTTCGTGCATTTATCAAAATCTCGCGTCAAAGTGCAGTCGAAAAGGAAAACGCGTGATGGAAACTGTGGCCGGAATGTTAATAGCGTGTATCGTTGAGGGGTGCATCGAGAGTCGAGTGTATTGGAGTCTCTTCAAGATAAGGGAGGACGAAAACACGTCATTTAGATAAAACGGGACCCGTCCATGGCGCTGTGAACCGATACCAGGGGCGTCTTAGCGGCGAGACGAGCCCGGCCCAGAGGCATTTCTTCAGAGGATGCTCAACTCGTTCTCCTCTTTTTCCTTGCCTAATAGTTCCACGTTTCGGAACATTTTTAAAAGCGTCCTCCCGCGGCATGACCTCGCCTCGTTCTAGGAAGTGTTAAGATGATCAGGGAGATGACTATACTTTAAAACCAAGGAATAGTTTCCAAAAACGCCTTCCCCTTTCCGCGTATTTTCTTAGGAATCGTATCGGTGATGTTTTAATGTTAAAATAGAGAGAACTGTTTTAAAGTAGACTCGCTCTTATAGTTTGATGATGTCATCGTGTGAAGGAACGGTGGTAGAATAATCGCTTTTTGGGAGTGAGTCGGTTGTACCCATTCGACAAATTATTCTAAGAAATACTCTTGAAATAAGTTTTTATTGATTAAAAGTACGAGTACTTACTTATGAAATAATTCACTAAACTGCTACTACAGCAGTATTTCCGCTGTTTCCTCTCATTTTTATTCAGTTAAGTGAAATTCCACATTTTCGGAGAATACCGACAATCTAGATTTCCCCCGAGAGCGTCGATTTGTCCGCCGTTTTATGGATAAGTAACAGTTCACAGAGTTTTGTGGAAACGCTATGCCGTTACAGTTGTTCGCATTGTTCCGGGAGCAATAAAGAGGCTTATTGGTAAAAACAAGGAATGTAAAACGGTGCGCATATAAAAACTGGAAAAGAACGCCTTTAGACGGTTCGTAACGATATAATAAGAGATCGATAACAGGACTGGCAGGAAAAAAAAAGGAAAAAGTGATTCGATGCCGTTGCATCGGGATCCCGACTTCTTGGGTTTCGCTCACGATATTCCATTTGTCGTAAACCGTGCAAAAAAGGAAATTATGCTTCTTACGTGGAAACCGAAGAATGGTAGTTCCTTTCTGGAACACGAATAAAATTCATTGCGAAAAAGCGTCCTCCTCCTTCTTTTCCTTCCAAAAATAAAAGAACAACACGATAGTTTATCGTGTTATTTTTATTTTTCACCTAACAATTTACTATTAAGATAAAGCCTTCAATTTTATTCATTCCGTCCTTAGTCATCTATTTCTTCCCACTTTATCGCAAGACCGCGATTCGCGATATGTCATGTTCATTCGATTGTAACTGTTTGACGAGCCGTTTTACAAGGTGCGGAAGCAAGTTGAAATTTTATAAGTCTTTTTATTACGCAGCTGCTGTCTTCGCTCGAGGAACGAGCGTGAAATTCGATTTGAACACTGACGACTTATGTTATCTGTCTCAATGTGTTCAGAAACGGTAACGCAGTGACAGATACATTCGTCTAGATGTCCCGTTGAATTAAATTTACATCTAAACGACAAGTGAATCATAATTAATTTCGAATACCTACGGAATTATACGTACTACGACGGAGCTGGTATTGAATAAATTGGGTAATTTCAAGGAACGACGTCATTCGAACATCCATATGATCTTCCTCTATGTAATTCAATAATGGAACGCGTTGAATATTGGTCGCAAAATAATAAGCACTAGTGGTTCGATCGAAGCTGCGAAAAATTCCAATGTTCTGATAATCAGCGAACAAATTGAAGACTTGCTTCCGGTGACGTATCAACGAATTTAAACTGAAGACAAAAAATGAACGAGAGAGTGAGTTGCCTTCATTCTTCCCTCGCTCAGGATCACGCGCATCAGCGACGCGGTCCAGCGAGCAGCTGCGTTTAAAGTAACGAGATGACTTTAGGCAGAGATGAGATAACTTGGTCTCAATAATTCAGATACCTAACAGCTTAGCCCTGTCCCGTACATAATGCAGTCTATCCACCCCATCGTGCTCCCCCATCCGCCTCTGCTTTGACTGCCAACTCACTCTCTCTCTCTCTATCTCTCTCTATCTCTCTCTCTCTCTCTCTCTCTCTTTCCCGATGCTCTCATCTCCACCACCTCGAAGTAAATCGCACCCCTTCGTCGGTGTCGCAAGAGATCCAGTCCGGTCGCCGACTCTTCCCTGAGAGTCTTACCGCCGCTTTTAAAGTGTCAAAACTCTCGAATTCGCGATTCGGATCGTTTCGATCCGTCGCGCCGAGACCCCATCGCGATTCGCCTCGTTAAAGATTCATCGTTTCCCTGTGTTGGATCACGCCCGTAACTGGTTGTACACGAACAACCAAAGCTATTCGGAAGGTACTCGTTGTTCCTTTTTTTTATGGAAATCGGACCCATGAAAAAAAACAAGTTCACCATACCTTTGATCATACTTATTCGATAAATTATCTTTAACGCATTCTATTCGTTACGTAATTAACACGATAACACGAAATACGCCTGTCTATACATGTGTATGTTTCCGTAGGAAATAGTAACCAAAAGTTATAGTTGACGATAAGAGGGATAACGATAATAAGGGTAATGCGTCCCAGGGTGTCGGGAGGATGCCTATAGTTTACACCGCGAATGGGGCGAGGCTGCGTCGCGTCGGGGTTGCAAAATGTAATCGGCACGGCGCCCCTCAATTATTAATTGGTAACCGCGTTAATTACTTGTACGGGTGTACGCGCGGCTGTCACTGGG